GCCTGCAATGTGACCTTTGGGCACTGGACTCTGCATTGTGTTGCTTTAAAGACTTGAATGTACTGTGTTATATACAGTAGATGCAGAGCATTTTCCATGTTCAGATCCATGGCACAGCCTGTGATGTAATGCACTGGGTGCTAGTTCACCCTTGGTACCATTGGACACCATCTTTAAAATTTCCCACTTATGCCATCTTTGTTTGTTGCAGTAAGACTTAAGACTGAAGGATTAAAGTAGTATTAAACTCTTAAACATTTTTTCAATAATGAATCCAGTTCAAACAAATGTACATTGCCCAGCAAAACATTGCTTTACATTTTTTGCCCAAACACTTACAATGATCATGTTTCTGAACAGCTGCTTCCAAGTCTCTCAGCTCAGCTTCCCTTAACTTCCTGTCCAGTACAAGATCACAAAGGACAGAGCAGACTCCAGCCACTGTTCATCTACTAGTTTGGAGGAGGAAGTAGAGGGGGCCAGGGGGGATGGGTGTAGCTTGATTTGCTGTGTCTGTGTTTTGGTGGAAACACACAGCGCTTATTAGCACACACAGGGGAGCTGCATAGCACTCTGCTTGAGAAACAAGATACTCTAAAACAGGAAATCAGGACCAGTGCTCAGGGGACCAGCTGATTCTGCAGGAAACTAAAACTTTTAAACATCAAGATGCAGCATCTATTGTAAGAAATTTAATCAGCGTTTAAAATAGCTTAAAATATAGAGAATGAACTGCGCCAATAAGCAAGCTAACAGCTACAAGGCACTGGAATGTACACCCACTGTGAGTGTGTATACGTGAAAAATGAATAACTAAATGTGCCAAGCTAAAACAATGATCAGATATAAAGAGTAAAAAAAATAAAAAAACAGTGACTCAAACAAAACGGCAGAGAGCCGTGACAGGATCGAGAGGTGAGCGAACCCGGTATGTGTTCGCTCACCTCCCGATCTACTGAGCCGACCTGTGACAGTCTCATTGTCACAGGTCGGCTAGAACTATGAGGTGAGTGTAAATCACTCATCTCATAGTTCTCCTTTAAAGGCACTTTTTGACAGCACTGAACTTTATGTCCACCTTTGTGCCTTTTCTCAGCATCCCCTTTGTGGGATCCTTTGTCGACCTTCCCTGAAAAGGATCAGTTTTTCTGGACTGTGAAAACCAGAATTCTCATGACAGACTCAACTCCTGCAAGTTTCCATCAGCTTGAACCTTACAGATATTGAGTGCTGGTAACTAGATGGCAGGGAAGTGCGGTCAGGGGAGGCAGGTGAGGCAGTGCCTCACCTAGAATTATGGAGGAAAAAGGAGACAGCTTTGTCTCCATTCAGATCGGCATCTAACAGGTTACACAGCAGGGAAATCCTCCCCACTGGATAACCTGTCATGGATGGAGCGCCTCAGCAGTGAGGAGCAAGTGAGGGACAGGGAGGCTCCTCCCTGTCTCCTCCCTTCCCGCTTTTACACTAGCTTGGGGATGGGTTGGGACAGGGCTTCGGTTGGAGGGGGCAGGGCTTCAGCCGGCAGGGGCGGGACGTGCTGGGGAATGCCTCACCCGGAGCAAGAGGTACCGCACGTCACTGCTAGATGGTCTCTGGACAGTGAGACTGACCAGCTTAGATCCTTGCTGAAGCATTTTGCTTCGCCTGGGTTGGTGGAAACTTCCCACCTTCCCATTTAAGGGCGAGATGTGCAGACGAGGCCTATGGATCTAATGGTCCCCGATATGCACCCTCAGTCTCTTAGACTCCTGCCTCAGGGCTATCCTTGTGCCTGGGAATTGACTCTGGTTTCCTGGAGTAGTTGGTGCCTGCTTCTTCAGGGAGTCCCATTGTCCCTTGCCTTGGACTTTGTTGGGCATCAATTTTGTGCTTTAAGACCTTCACCCACTGAGTGACTCTGCTCATCCTGCTGTTGTTGCACCTGTATGGAGTTGTTCATTCCACTCTTGTCTATTTTGCTAAGGGATACTTCTTGCACCCCTTTTTTCCTCTTTGCTGGTCAGTCTTTCTGACTTAAAGGAGAACTATGAGGTGAGTGATTTCCACTCATCCTCATAGTTAAAGCCGAACTGTGACAAAGAAGCTGTCAAAAGAACGGATTTTAGTTTGCGCATGTGCAGTGTTCTTGCTGCAATTTCTTTCCTATGAAAATGCCACTAATTCATCGATTTTCGTACGATTAAAAAAACTTTTCCAGCCTGACCGATCGATGAAATTCGTCCAGAAGTACAGTAATTAAAATCGTTGGTGTCACATCAAGTGATAGATTATCGTTCAAAAGACCATCCGTGGACGATTTCCGAATGGAAATTGATAGGCGTATGGGCACCTTTAATCACAGGGACATGTCACAGTGTTGCTGTACATCCTTGCAACCCTCTGAACCTCTCCATTAAAATGCATTACATGCATTTGGTGCGATCCAGATCAGAAAAATAGTGCATGCCGCATTTGTTTCCCCAACCCGGAACAGACTGCACTGGTGTGAAGTCCAGGAATACCATAGGAATACATTGGGATGCATTTCAAATGTGGACAAAAAACGTCCTGGTCTGGGCATGGTGTGAACAAGCCCTAAGCCCCTCTCATTGCAAGGATGTACAGCAACATTGTGACATCGTCCACGGATGGTCTTTCAAACGATAATCTATCAGTTGATGGGACACCACCGATTTTAATTGTACTTCTGGACGAATTTCCTCGATCGGTCAGGCTGGAAAAATGTTTTGAATTGTAGGAAAATCGATGAATTAGTGGCATTTTCATATGGAAAAAAAATTGCAGCAAGAACACTGCACATGCTCAAACTAAAATACTTTCTTTCGATTAATAACATTTGGTGCGTTAGTATTGCTAACGAACGATTATCGAAATCGGCATTGGTCTGTGCTTAATGGCCTATTTAAGCTAGACTGGAAAGAGGGTTCTTGGCAGCAACAAAAATTCCCGATCGAAAATCTGTAGGTGTATGGCCAGCTTTGCACTGTTGCCTTTTAACTCTCAGGTTCTGTGTTCAATTCCCAGCAAGCACACTATACATATATAAAGTTTGTATATTCACATTGGATTTCTCAAGTTTGTAAATTTGTGCAACAGCATGTAATGATAAAATGTATTATGTGCACTAAACAAATTGCAAATTGGCTTATTTTTTAAAACAATATCCTGCAATTTTAGTTAAACCAGAATTATTTTCTAATACTATTTTATATATCCCTACTCCTAAAGAGCAGGTTTGTACATTTCCTTTAGTAGGGTTGATGCTATTGCTGATGGCAAATGGATAATTGTGTTCAGCAGTGTTATTGTACCATTTAAAAGTTTATATATTGTTAGAGCTAGTTAGCAATTGACACTATGTATAGGGTATTCACAGTTTGTGTGCACCAAAGCATTGCTGCATAAGAACACAATGCCTAGAAACTTAAAAGCTCAGTGAACTGCTGCTCGTTAATTTTCCTTATGGCAAGACTATGAAAGAAATAATCCAGGCCCACACTCGATAACATCACCAATCAGGAACAAAGATGGGGCCACAGTGGAAGATGTGGACCCTGCTGCTACCCCCCAGCGTGTGCTGTGATAAAAAGACAGGTTTTATTATTATAAGCACAGTGTGCTGAGTGCTCTGTATTTATAGACTCCTTTTGAGCAATAATGTCTGTAAATGGTATATGCCATTAAAAACATATTGTTCTGGCATCCCAGGGCAGCTATTTGTTCTCCCCTCACCCTGGCCAGTGTAAATCCTCCCACTCACTCCAGGATGTTAACTCTGACCTCATCTCTTGTTCTTGATTTCCAGCACATCTACTAACAACATCTCTTTTCTCTGGCTCCCAATTAAAAGTGACTGAGCTGACTGTCAAAGGTCAGAAGGTCAGAATATTTTCTACTAAGCGCAATGCGCTACCGCTGGACTAGGAGTAATCTTCTGCACTTAAGTGTCTAATTGCCCTCTGATGTTACCCTAGTTTGTACTCATAAAATCAAGGGCTCTGGGACCTATTAGGCCTTAAGACACTAGATTTACACATGTGTCCAGTAAGAGTAAATTATATTTTTCAAGTAAATGGCCCTTGCTCTTACTTTGTATTTGATGTGATATTTAACCAGTACACATTTTTCTTATTTATCTATCCAGTTAGGATTTGGATGCAATTGTTTAAGGAGCAGATTGGCATGTGTATGTGACTCTTGTGTGATTATGGCCAGACGGCACTTGCATGGACCAGCTAAACCTGTTAGATCAGGACATCATTGTCTGTGTTTAAATTTGTTGCAGAATGACAAAGCAAAATTCTCTAAAAGCCCATTCTGCCTGTGTATGGGCTACTTAGCTCTCAAATTCCATTTGCTTCGTGCATGAAAACACCTACCTGCTTTAGCGACAGGTCAACCTTCTGTATGGTAAAATGGAGGATCTCTATTTTAAGCATGTCTGCAATATTCTAAAATCCAAATAGTCTTTTCAGTTCTTGTTACGTTAAAAGAAGATTGTGCAATTATATTTTAATGTAGGTGGCCGCCCTTGGAGCTTTGGAAATTAGTTAATGTGTGGGTTCCATGATCTGTAGATTTAAGCATGTTGCTGTTACAGAGAGTTTGAACAAACTTGATATTGAATCTCAGTACAATTCTTAGATTTGAACTGGTTCAGACTTTTTTCATCTTTACCATCAGTGACCTTTTCTTAGTATGGCAATGTAAAATGTTGGGTTTCTTATTTTAAATGCAGTGGTCTTTATTATTAACATAGAATGGATTAAAATTAACATACTCAGATAGAATGTACTTAACCGAATGGAAATGTGAGTGTTAAGTATATATTTTAGAAGACTAATTAGAACATCTAAATATTTCTTATGGTTTCAGAGACATTTCAAGGGACAAATATTCTAAACTCAGTAGTACTGTCTATGAAATCACATGCAATTGTAAACTATAGGAACACTAATTAATTAGCCATTAATATGGAAATTTTATCATTCATCCAGGTTGTTGTCAGTGAAGATTCTGATGGTGAAGGCCTTGTTGCACATTTTCCTGCACATGAAAAGCCTATTTGTTGCATGGCATTTAATCCCAGTGGTAAGTTTTTTTTAAAATTCTTTATTGCCATACATACTGCAAAATTGTTTGCAGGCAGCACAATACATAAATTACAAGTATAACAATTACAGCAATCATAGTCAAGGATAACTAAGAGTATACAAAAATAGGTAAGAACCAGATACAGTGGTAAGTTTTTACAAATATACCCCACCCCCCATGCACACACACTGGGGGTAATTTATCAAGAGTGGAGCAGCTGTGCATGGCAACCAATCAGCTTCTCTCTTCAGTTTGTTCCTTTAGGATTTGAAAATTCAAGAGATACGCTGATTGGTTGCCATGCACAGCTGCTCCAGATTTTGTCTGCTCCAGTTTTGATAAAGTTCCCCCACTGGGTTTGATATTAATCAGAGTACTGTCTGTGTCTTTTTCCCATATGTGATTGTTCCTTGACCCTTCCATCTTTTTTCACTTGTGCATTTAATGTCTGTGTTCTTTATTGCTGTTTTTTTTATTGCCTATTACTTCTTCTTTTCCTCTCTCTTTAACATGTGTATGTATGTGCACATGAATAAAAACTGCAGAGTAAAAGTCTGTGAGGGGAATTTATCAAAACTGGAGCAGACAAAAGCTGTAGTAGCTGTGCATGGCAACCAATCAGCTTCTCTCTTCAGTTTTTTCAGTTGAGATTTGAAAATGAAAGAGAGAAGCTGATTGGTTGCCATGTACAGCTTCTCCAGATTTTGTCTGCTCCAGTTTTCATGAATTCCCTTCTGTGCATGTCTCAGCAGTGTTAGTGTCTGGGGCAAGACAGTTATGCAAAGACAGGCAGTTAAAATATTCCCTATTTTACAGTATAGCTGCTGTTCATTGGGTAGGGTGGAAGATTAGTGTGCTCAAGAAAATGCACTTGAGCAAATGGAAATGTGAGTTTCTACTCCAGTGAAATATATGCTTTCATAATAGTGTTAGTATCTACTACACTGTAAAATATCCAATGCAAGTGTCTGAGCCACAGTAAAAAAAATCCACTCACAAAAGATTTGTAAATAACATCTTAATTCTTAATTATAGAAGAAATGGGTTATGCAGCTCCCAACTGGCACATAAAACTGTTATATGCAAGCGTAGTCAAACTCCTGGCAGACTCTCTGTGGGAACTGCCATATCGTCCAGACCTCTTGCTCTAAGGACCATTATATCACCCTGCTTCTCGGTCACTGGCTTTAATGGCCTAGATGTTGAAGCCGACGTTCTGAAGGACAGAGGGCTTTCGGATGCTGTCATTCCTGTGCTTTTGAAAGCTAGGAAATTGACCTTACCTAAGACCATTCCACCTGGAAAGCTTATTTCGCTTGGCGCAAAGTGAGGAAGTTAAATTCCAGGAGATATTCAGTAGCACATATGTTTTCTCCTGTCTGGCCTAGACCAGCATATAGTCTTTAAGTACCATCAAGGGTCAAATTTCTGCTTTGACATTTCTCTCCCAGGGACTTATTGACTATTACTCCCCAGTGAAAGCCTTTGCTTAGGGGTCCATCAGACAACCCTCTGAATAGTAAGCCCCCTTCCTTATAGTTCCTTGTTGCAGTTTGTTTGTTTGTTTCATGTACCTACTAGCCCTTGTTACTATGTTCCTCGCCCCTCTGTGGGATTACTTTTGGACATTCCATTGGTTCCAGAATTAAAGTATTACTAAAGGATGGGCGTTTTTTTACCTTAATGCAGAAAATGAAAAAAGGCCCAGTACCTTTTTGTGTTCCCCACACATACCTGTCAGTGCCGCTTGTCACCAACACAGGTCCCTGAAGTGATCCTCCATCCCAAACTTCCTTGTTGCGGGGGAGGATACTGAGGGCAGAGGAGCTATAGGCTCCTTCTGCCATCAGTCAAACTGCTGGGCTGAGAGGAGGGACATGGCCTTGCTCAGGGCTGTGTGCATCTGTGCATGCACACAGCTACTGCAGGCACAGCCAGGAACAAGGCCGCAAGGGAGCCTCCACAGCAGCTCCATAAATGCAGCCTTCCAGTGATAAAAATAAAAAAAACTTAAGGTTTAATATCACTTTAACTCCCTGTGTCCTGTGATGTATTATCAAGAAAACAGGATTTTTGTCTTAACTGTAAAATCTATTTCTTGGAGTACATCACAGGACACGGGACCCCTCCCCTCTGTTTTCTGTGATGTCTCACAAGTGTAATTAAACTATATAAACTAGACAACTTTCCATTCATGCTTATGAGAACTATATGCAGAACCATATATTAAGGCATATATTAAGATGCATCAAATCTGAGTACCTGTTGGATGGCTGATGAGAACATCAGAGGGAATCGAATGTCATATTTGGCTAGTAAGCCACTGGTTAGAAGCTGCTGCTTTAAATCGGATACAGAAATCTGCTTTCGGCACAGCGTGAAGAGAAATGCTAGTCAAAGCTAATATTTGCACTTTTCTGTTTTCCTCGTAAACAACTTATTGTCAGTTTATGGCCAAAAAAACAACATGTTGTTAAAACTTTGCCTTTGAGGGCAACAGACAACTAATAGACCACACACAGCCTAAATGAAATGTGAACAGCTGTAAATACTCATAGCATGCTATATGAATCTCTGAAATATCAAAGTTTTGCCTCTCAGTATTTTTAGCATAAGGTTTAAAAAGTTGGGTTGGTTTTATCTGAACTGCTGTGACCCTACCAAGCCATGATATCGGATGTTTCTCCCAAGAGGACAGTAGAGTTTCATTGCAGCATGTTTTAAGTGTTGCCATAGTTGCTGGATGCTTCATTGATAAAGCTGCTAAGGTGAATCTTTTCCCAGTCGCTGTAGAGTCATGGGTCACCAGCACCTAGACACTTTGTAAACTCAGAAAACCACAGGGAGGAATTCATTTACTTATCAGATGCTAAAGTTTGTAAGTGGGTGAGATTTATCCCTTTAATTGACCATGTCTGAGTGAAAGCCTCATCCTCATTTATCATTGGATTTTGTACAGAACAGTCTATGTGATTAACGGTCTTGTGGTGAGTGAGCAGACTCTACAGTTAACAGCTAACTACAGCTCTTAATGAATAAGCAGAAATATTATTAGAGAAAGCCATACATTAGTGAGCTACAATAAAATCAAAGCTTTTACAAACCTCAAACTTGTGAAACATTTGTTTTTGTTTTCTTCAGTATTAAGTAAATGTCTTTTCTTTAGACAGCCCTTATATATTTTTTTCTTTGCTACTACTGCAGCAGTGCAGCTGTATAGGTTATATAAGTGGCTATGGATGTCAACCTCCCAAACTAACACTTGTAGATTTTTGTATGAACATTCATAGGAAACATTCTTGTCAGAACATTTGATAATGCCATCAAAAACGTAAGAAATGTAGTTCAAGATTTTCATTTGATTTTAACACTTGGCTTTTCGAATAAATGTAGTTTCCCGAACGATTTTAATTTTGCTCATTTAAGAAAAAGGTTTCATCCTGCTCCTTCGATTTTTTTTTTTCACCACCACTGTCGAAAATAATTGTAAACTTGACCCCATTAACTAATAGAAAATCTAACGATCGTCTTGAAAACTATTTTTTTTACAAACAAAATTCTAACTGTATATTCCCAGCTAAATTCTGTTCACAATTGCACTGCATGGTATCATTAGTGAAGCTAGATGTTCTTATTTCTTCCAGCACTTTAATGACTATAATGGCACCAATCCCATCATGCACGTTCTGTGCTGTTTTAAAACTGCACCAGAAATGGAGGGTAAATAGAGCATACGTGTATAAAATAGTCGTTACAAATATTTAATCTCCAGATAAGATATTTAGGTTAACATATGTAAAATACAGTATTTTGTTGCCCCTGACAATTCATGTTTAGTTGCTATGGCTAAATTAGTATCTCTCCAATGTTTTATTGAATTATAATACCTGAAGTTTGTTGCTTGCCTACTAGAGTGTATAGGGATAGCAAGTTGCAGGGACCCATAACAGCCAGTCTGAAATCATCTCTTACAATAATCTAATCTATTTTTGTCTAAAATGATATTAGGTTCATATAAATTACAGCACCTTGCACATACTAAAGGCACTCTGTGCTCTTTATTAAATAAGCCTGCACATCTACTGGTTTTGTTTAATATGTATTTACTATATTCTTTGCCAATGTTTTTTTTGTTTTATTTGTGAAAATGCAAATATGTCTTAAAGGAGAACTATGGGGTTAAGTCTTTTCCCCATAGTTCTCCTTAGGGTAACGGGAGGACACAAACTAGCGTCCTCCCGTCACCCTAGGCTCATTATACCGCGAGCTTCAGCTTGCGGTATACTGAGACACCGCAGTATACCGCGAGCAGTTGCTCGCGGTATACTGAGACGGCGCAGCTGAAGCGGATCCCGACAATTGTGCCGGGATCCGCCCAGCTGCGTGACTGACAGCTGGCTCTGCCTATCTAAAGGCAGTCAGCGCTGGCGGATCGGAGCGGGGAGGGGGGAATCCAGCCCCTCCCCTGTCACGGCAGAGCCGTGACAGGATCGAGAGGTGAGCGAACGCCGGTATGTGTTCGCTCACCTCCCAATCTACTGAGCCGACCTGTGACAGTCTCATTGTCACAGGTCGGCTAGAACTACAGTATGAGGTGAGTGAAAATCACTCACCTCATAGTTCTCCTTTAACTCTATATTTAAATAAATTACAATGCAAGTAGCACTTCTACATGGCTTTATTTCCCATCAAACATGAAAAATAATAATCTTAACAATACTAAATATGTACTATTCTAAAATGTATATCTACATTAATAGAAGCCATAAATGCATAAAATAACTTTCTCTAAATGGTTTTTTAAGGCAGTATTAGACGTTAATCTCCAGGGGGCAGCATTAGTTAAATAGTTTAATGTCTTCAGTTTACACGTTAGTTAAACAAAGTTTAACTTTATCAGCTGCTTCTCAAGTATGTCTAAATTATACACTACAGTTTTCAAAAAGAACTGCCCTGTATTACTTGCTAGAGTAAAGTCACAGCTTTAAGTACTTGAG